TAATACTACAGGATGTTTGCAATGTGACGCAGTTCTTGGTGGATTCAAACATCAGTTAACTGAGCTGGAACGGCATTTTGGTGGTCACTATCATCAACCCGTCTCGATGCAGGAGGTCACTATTATGGTAGATGGCCAACCACAGACATGGGTTCACAAAGGAGCACCAGGAGAAATACTACAGAGACACCTTCACCATTTGCCACCGTTTGTTCTTCCATCAAATTCAGTTCCGCCAGTAGAGTTTCCACAATCTCGTTTGACCGCTCCCATTTATGGGCATATTCCTGCAGAACCCCTAGGAAATCAGCATGTACTGGTTGCTACACAAGTGACTCCACCAACATCAAAGAAATCATCCGATTCAGCAGGAATGTCGATATGGGATAGATTGTCCAAACCTATATCACCTACTCCCGTGCATAACCGTAGAATGATTAAATCAAAAGTGGTTAATGACAATCAATGGCATCATAACCATCATCAAAATTTCCAGTTGTTCCTCTTGCAACTTATGGTCTTACCCTTACGAGCTGGTTATTACAAGGATATACAATTGAGCTAGAAATCCAGGATGTCTACAAGTACACCACATAAGATCAAAAGCCCGCCTCCTAAATGGCAATATTGGCGAAAAGTAGCATATCACAATCCGTTAATTAATATGGTGTATGTATTGCCAAGGACATTTCTTACCATTTTTGATTTACCCATGGCTGAACCTCCAGTGTCAGGCCTAGATATTGAGAAGAATGATATGTCTGGCACCGATGGACAGACAATACCGATGCTTCTCGAGAGAGTAGCACAAAATGGGATTCAGATAGTGGAACGGCCTGGACAACCTTCGATTGTCATGCTAACACAACTGATTGATACGGCTACCACCCATATCCGACCTTTGTTCATTTGTGCCAACTCGGATGGCATACCCCTGAAACGAGTCTTAGTGGACAATGGCGCTACAATCAATGTTTTACCTTTCTCAGCCATGCGCAAGTTTGGGAAGCACATGCAGCAGTCGTGGAGATATTTGTTAGTGGTTTCAACGGTGATGTAACCAGCACTCGCGGGATTCTCCGGTTGGAAGTCACTATGGGTTCACAATCAATTGTTTCCGCTTTCTTTGTGGTGGATACTAAAGCATCCTACAGCGTGTTATTAGGCCTTGACTGGACTCACTCAGCCCGTTGTATGCCTTTTTCGTTGCACCAAGCTATTATTCTATGGGAAACGAATGATCCGGAGATTATCAATGCTGACGCTCATCGGTTTACCACTCAAACCAATTCGGTAGAAGCATACTACTATGACAAGGAAGTTAGTCCTTATTGGATGCTAGGGATCGTCAAATACGGTAGGCCAATGCAGGCCACCATGCGCCGAGATTGCACTCTCCCTGAGTGGAAAATGTTGTGGCAAGAAGTCAACAGACCGCAGAATTATAAGTTGCTTCCGTCATTGACTCCTGCTATTATTATTAAAGAGGTTCTAGATGAAGACAATTGAACAACTACCAGCCGTGGATGATGTTTCTCTCGATTTAGAGCTAGCACAAGCTATCAAGAAACGGGATGCCATTGAACGCGCCCTCAAGTTCTTTGCTGACGAATGCCGATTCAAGGTGGAACATCTGGAGATTAATTGGTAAGATATAATTTATGATGCAGACCCAGAAACTGATAGTGACGTCATTGAACTTAATGAATTGGCGGTTGCAGCAGACAAACTGGAGGATGGCTCTATGGCCACCAAAGACCCCGGTATCACTATCGATTTAGGTGATGGCACAGTTCCCAAGTCAATATATATCCACTTTATTTGGGAATGAGAAACAACAGCTTACTACGTTGCTTAAGTCATTCTGTGACTGTTTTGCCTGGGATTACATAGAGATGCTTGGGTTAGATCACAAGTTAGTCGAACATACAATTCCACTCAAACTAGGATTCAATCCTTTCAAGCAACCTCCACGATATTTTTCGAAAGATGTTATGGGGAAAGTCAAGGAAGAAATTCGAAGGTTATTAGCCGTCGACTTTATTGAAGTTGCTACATATGTGGAGTGGCTATCAAATGTTGTGCCAGTCATCAAGAAGAATGGCAAAACTAGGGTATGCACTGACTTCCGTAATTTGAACTTGGATTCTCCGATAGATGAATATCAGATGCCCATTGCCGAAACTCTTATTGTTGGTTGGTCGGGTATGAGATATTTAGCTTTGTCGACGACAATGCAGGATATAATCAAATTTATATCGCTCATGAAGATGTTCCAAAAACAGTGTTCCGTGCTCCGAGAACTTTTTATGGATATTTCAATGGAAAGTGATGTCGTTTGGACTCAAGAACGCTGGTGTAACTTATCAATGTGCCATGAATTGTATATTTCATGATCTAATCGGTTTATTTACTTGAAGTGTACATCGATGATGTGGTTATGAAGTCGCATTCTTTCCCTGACCATTTGCGCCATCTAGCTACCTGCTTTGAACGTATGCGATGATATAAGTTGAAACTCAACCCACTTAAATGTGCGTTTGGCGTGACATCTGGAGTTTTCCTGGGTTTCCTGGTCCGTTCCAGGGGTGTAGAGATTGACTCTAAACAGGCTAAAGCTATCCTAGAAGCTCGGCCTCCGCGTAACAAGAAAGAGCTACAAAGTTTGATCGGCAAGATTAATTTCCTGCGTCGATTCGTTGCCAATATGTCTGCAAAAATCAAAGATTTTTCTCCGTTATTAAAACTTCAAACAGCCACGGATTTTATTTGGGCAAGTGAACATCAAACGGCGTTTGACGATATTAAACAGGCTCTCAGTCGCACACCTGTTAGGATGGCACCAGTACTAGGCTGCCCTTTAAAGTTGTACATTTCAGCTACAGAAGATTCCTTGGGATGTTTCTTGGCGCAGGACGGAACGGATGGTTACGAATGAGCAATCTACTACCTTAGCCGTATGTTGACGGTTACAGAACATAAGTATACTGCCATATAAAAGCTGTTTGGCTCTCTATTTTCAGCTACCAAGCTCCGCCACTACATGTTGCCAACACTTGTGTGTGTTATCAGCAAAATCAACTTGGTCCGCTTTATGCTCAATCGCCCCAATATGAGTGGCCGGATTGGGAAGTGGATATTGGGACTTAAGGAATTTCAGTTTCAATATGCTCCACAATTGACAGTTAAGGACAAGCCTGTGCAGACTTCTTGGCCACACATCCTTCATTGGACGATAATTGGTCCAATATTGAGGTTGCTGCTTTTCAGGTCCCTGTTGCGCCAGTCGTTCCGTGGAAGCTGTACTTTGACAGATCTGCTACTTTTCACCGTTGTGGCGTGGGATTAGTCATTTATTCCCCTCTAGGAAAGGTGTTGCAAATTTGGGTCCGGTTGAATTTTCGTGTCACCAACAATCAAGCAGAATATGAAGGCTTGATCTATGGCCTTCGTACCTTAATTCACAATGGTACATGTAATGTCGAGGTTATCAGCGATTTCGCCCTTGTGGTAGGGCACATGAAGAATACTATGAAGCGAAAAGATGACGTTTTGACTCAATATGCTGCCCTTGGAGATGAGCTCAAATCACAGTTTGATACCATTACATTTACTAATGTGTTACGTCCTGATAACCAAGAAGCAAACGCGATGGCACAATCTGCTTCTGACTATGTTCCATAGGTTGATCCTTCTTGGCAATATGACACTGTTGAATTTGATTTTCCAGCTTATCATGATCAGACACATATGGACGTCAATGTCATTCAACCACAAGTGGAAATCGGTGATTGGAGAGAACCAATAGTTTAGTTTCTTGTTAACCTAGATATCCAGACCTGACGATGGGCTGTGCAGTTTCTAGTGATTGATGGATCTCTTTACCGCAATAATGCCTACGAATCTTGCTCAAATGTCTTAATCGTCCCGAATCTACAGTTATTATGCTAGAAACTCATGAAGGTGCTTGTGGCGCACATCAGGGTGGATGAAAAATGGCTTGGTTGATTCGTCGACACAGGTGTTTTTGGACTTCTATGACTCAGGATTGTATCTCTTTTGCACGTGGTTGCGTTGATTACAAAGGATATGGATATTCCAAGCGTACCAGCTATGCCCATGCAAGTAACCGTCAAGCCTTGGCATTTTTTATGTCATTGGAATGATTCATCCATCTTCCTCCAGTGGACATAGGTATATTCTGGTTGCTACCGACTATTTTACAAAATGGGTAGAAGCAGTGCCGTTAAAAGATGTTGACCAAAAGGCAATTATCCGTTTTATCCAACAGCATATCTTATATCGGTTTGGGATACCTGAATCCTTTGTCATCGATCAAGCACAGTATTTCATTGGAACAGAGATGCAAGCCTTTGCAAAAGACGCTGGTTTCTTCCTCACTCATTCATCTCCCTATTTTGCTTAAGGGAACGGTCAGGCAGAGGCTAGAGACAAAATTATCAAGAATATCACGAATCGTCACATTTATGATAATCCAAGAGCTTGGCATTCCTTCTTGCCACACGTTTTGTGGGCTTATCACAAGTCTAAACGAGGCGGCACACAAGCTACACCTTATGAGTTGGTTTACGGACATGTCGCAGTTGTACCAATAGAACAGTTGATCCCGTCACTCTGAATTACTAACCAGCATCCGATAGATTCCGTCGATTATGCCTTGAGTATGCAGATTCAGCAAGACCAGATATGCCTTGATTCTCCAGCGTTAAAGTTTGGTGCTGATTGAACTTCTAGCTGCTCATCACCTTTATCTGCTTCAACGGTTGCACTAGGAGACGATGTTTTGGCTGGCACAAGAATTTCTTTCAAAGCACCTTTCATGAAGTTCCACATTTTCGTAGCTTCTGCGATAATGGGTTGGGAGTTCTCATATTGCATTGATTTTTCCTTCACATCCTGCGACCGTTCATCCCGCATACTCATAGCCTTTGCACTTTGTTAAGCCATCTTTTTAAAAGATCGGCTTCTTGCCGCTGTTCTCAGATTGAACTTAACTCTAATTCAAGTGCAGCCTGTTTCTCTGCCAGATTCTTTGCCTGTGCTGTGGTTGCAACAGCCTGTTTTACTGGTGCCTTGGTTATTTCTTCTGCCTTTTGATGCGCCATTGCTGAGTGATTATAATCCTCTACGTGCTTTACACAGATTTCACAACTGATTTTCCTTTGCTCAAAATTAGCTAGGAATAAACCAACTGTTGCCTTAACTGCCCCTTGCAAATCACTCTCACAGATGGTCCCTAGTGCTTCTTTCAGAGGTTGATGATAACGAGCATGTACCTGTTCAGCACTTATTTTGTACAGGCCTTGCAACACCCTCAATGCAGCTCCTACAGATTGCGCCGGCTTGCCACTTGTTTTCACCTCAGGCTCAGGATCATCCACTTTCTTGGACAGGCGTTGCTGCAATTCTTCCACAGATGGAATCACTGATGCGGCACACTTTTGTTTTGATGGAGGCGACGCATGTTGCTCTGGGCTGCTACCTGCATCTTCTTCCAGTGATTCTAAGGTTTGTTTGTTCCCACTCGCATCTGATTCTTCCGCTGATAAGTCAATGGTTTCTATGCATTTCTGCTGCACACAGACAAAACCATCATAAATCACATCAGGCATAGACTATTGAGACATTTCTATCTATACAGTACTGCTGAACCTTACATACCTTGGAATTGTTACTAGATGTTTTCCTCTGACCTGTTAACCGGACGTACTTTCGACGCTTCACCGGTAGTGTGGGATCTGCTGCCTTCTTTCTTTTGTCTTTTTCTTTCCTCCGATTGTCACTGGCGTTTGCCCCAATGATGCTGCATATTCAAAATCATATTTTAGTATGTTTGCACATGGACAGGTTACCATACTCACCCATACACCAAAAAAGCTTGTATCCATTTACCTGGGGGAGCTTGTTCATCAGCTACAATAGCCTTCGGGATATCCGAATCGGTTGGCAACACATCTTTCAGAATGCCATCCAGGCCTTGAGGATACAGGGTTAGCATTACCTATTCCAACCAGATTAGAAAGCCACCAGACACTTCAGGAACTATTTCAAACGGCACAATCTTCCCAGAGCGACAGCTGCTGTTCATCATCTCTTTTCGTTCATAGTAATCAAGCACGGTCATCTTTTCTCTCCCAGATTGCCAAGTGTTTCTGAAAGCTACATCAAAGAAAGGATACCTTGCACTAACCCTAGCTGCCTAGCCACCATCACAGTTGGATAGTATTTAGCATGCATATGGCATTCACTAATTTGAGGTGAGAGACTTTTAAACCCGTAATACAAATCTCGGGGTACCAATAACCCTCTCCACACATTGGATAACCCCGATGCACTGTCATCATTCCATTCCCCCGACTGTGCTTCAATCTGTGTCTATGCACCAAAAGTAGGGCGCCAGTGTTTGTGCGACAGTTCTTTCCATATACTGATATACCTGGCACTGATTCCCAAAGCCGAGTAGCTACAATATTACTATTATATCCAGGTACACCAGTGTGGGTTACTCCTAGACACAGTGATTGATTCCCTACCAGATTAATCCCTACCACTCTTAAAGGGGAAAAATATATGTAAAACCATAACAACAGCTAGATTGGACCAAAAACGGTTTCATTAGGCACCTTACTAATCTCCTGCATACTATGAAATAGTATTGCTAACATAATTTCACACATATTAATGGATTTTCCAGTAGCAAGTATAGCAGTCATATGATACATATCTTGAGTCATTTGGAATGACTTACCACAAATGATGTAACGATTCAGCCACAATGGAAGGAACCGGATATGTTGTAGTAGATCATCGCCATCCTTATGCATATTTTCTTTAATGTACCCACCATGGCGTCTCTGTTGCAATTCACCAGCCTTGGCTGCTTCGGGTCCTTCACTGTCTCCATCAATGTTGACATCCGCAATTACCGGTACTCCCGTTATCACTGCCACATCCAGCAGAGTGGGAGTCATCAAACCCCAATGGAAGCAGAAGACGTTGCTGGAGCTACTCCAAAGGACGCCACTCCAAGAAGAACCTTATTGTCGAAGATTCCCATTTGACAAAACTGAATCAGGTCATAAATCCCGGCTTTTTTCCAGGTTTCAGCATGGTACTTTTCCATCTTCTTGGCCCAATTGCAAAATTCTTGATACATTTCACCTTTTTCCGATGACCATGGCCATCCCCGAATATGGCCAAATTCGATACACCGGAACCTGTGAGTAGGATTCTCTGGATGTTGTACCTGTATATACCAATGGAGTGTGGCGTTACCCACCATAAAACTTGGTCCAGCCGAGAAAAATGACCGGGAGGACCATGTGGATATAGCGATTCATCAAAATCCGGCAACAGATCCAGCATCTCAGTCGGCTTCACATTCTGAGCTTTCGCCAACTCTTCATCAAACTTCACAACATACATCTCGGCCATCTTGATTCAAAAGAATTTGCGTTTTGCTGGTTTGAGGGTTGCTTTGGTGGAATCGGAAAACAACAGAGAGAAACGAAGAATTCGAAGTTTGAAATTGGGGACAAATTGGGTGATTTGACCGCCGTAGATAAGCCGTGCCTAGGCCTGGCAATCCGTGTCGGGTTGGTAGGTAGGATCGAACCCGAACCCGCTAAAATTTTGACTAACCCAAACCCGACCTATTTAATTATACAGGTCGAGATTATCAACCCTAACCTGACCTTATAAAAACTAGGTCAACCCTGTTGAACCCGTGAAAAATCAAAACAATTTCCTTCACAAGGTCGACCCGTTAAACCCGGAAAAATATAACCTGTTCAACCCGGAAAAAAAAAATTCAGAACAATCATAAAGCTTAAGATTGATGTTTTAACTATCCCTTACAAATTACAATTCATCAATGTCCAACGATCAAACCATGGACAGAGAATACAAGTCTCACAAATACTAAGAACCATAACAAATGAACAATCTTTTACAGTCCATAAACCATAAGAAACACAATTACATAAAGCGCACTTTAAAAATCCCCAAATCCAGATAATATTCAATCAACCGGCTGTCAAGAACCAGCTCTTTTTTTTCTTTTTGAAAAGAAGAAGAAAAATCAATTTGCTCAATTGCAGCTGACACTTGAGAATTGAGAGTGAGAACTGAGAAGAGCCTAACTTGTGCTTGAGATGGAGAAGAAACGAAGTGAAGTCGACGCGAAGTTGACCGCTGCTCGAAGTCTAATCCAAATCCATTGCTCGAACTACCACTTCTTTGAAAGATCTCAGTGATTGGGAAGAAGAATATGAAGAATCTTGGATTGGGAGAGATTGAGATTTGGGAGAATTTTTTTGATTTTTGCTTTGGGTGTTCCACTATTTTGGATGGCCGCCGCAGAGACTTCAAAAATAAGGGTGTAAAATAAAACTGAAAAGTGGGAACTGGGAAAGTCTTCAAGTGATGCAGGGTTTCTTTGCATTAAAATTCCCAAATTAACCCTACAAAACATATATTCGGGTCACCCGGGTAACCAGATGGGTTGAACCGAACTCGACCTGTATAATAAACAGGTCGACCCTAACCCGACCAGTTTATTATACGGGTCAAAAATTCCAACCCAAATCCGATTATTTCATGTCGAGTTCGTGTCAAAAATTCGGGTCGTGTCGAAGTTGCCAGTCCTAGCCGCGCCTATAAGGAAGGATGCTCCTCGATTCGCGGGATTTGACTTCAGTTCCCCACAATATCACCAACGGCTTTCTCTGGAACATATCTTTTCCGGATCCTAAACTCAAAGACGTTCTTTCCATCACGCCTTTGACTGGGGGAGCCACCATACACCATTTTCATTTTAAGCTGTGGGCCGCTGCTCATAGGCCAATTCATTTTTGGCCTGATAGATATTCAAAGGCACACCATACTGTTAAAATGAGTTGTGCCTTGGGGGGCTTTATGTTGACACTAATTTTATTTAAAATCGTGTCGGCCCAACAAAAGCTGTGAATTGGCTCAGTCCGCTTGTGGCAGAGAAGCCAAGGCTGAGTCGAAAAAGAAAATTGATCGAAGGCTCACTCAACGCAGAGAACACCGAATCCAATTCGAAGAAGAAATATAATTGTGGTGGAAACAGGAAATCGGAAACAGGATTCGATTATGATTCTAAATCAGAAACACCAAATTCAACTAGGAATAGGAGATCGCACCGACTCAAGACGGTTGTCGAGACTATACAAAAAGAGCTAGGGCACCACAATTGGCACAACTCATCATCAACACAAACAAATCACAAGCTGCAAAGCTCTCTTTTCTTATTTTCTCGCACCCCTTTGTTCTTTTAGCACTTTTCACAAGTCTTTTTATTCGATTTACTCTATTGTAATTCGTTTAATTCATTAGTTTACAAGCAATTCACTTTTATTCAAGTTTGTTACAAGTTTTATACTCTTTTTCTTTATATTTAGCCGAATATTGCACCATGAAGATTACACACTTTCGTGAAATTGTTTGAAAGCGTATATCGGTTCTTATTGATTATTTTCATAAAAACAGTTTATTTGATAAAATACTTAATAACTAGGGATGGCATTAGTACACTCAGTTTAAACGCGTCTCCAAAACAAATTGTCGTCCTCCTTCCTCTACCACCATTCTTCTCGCCTTCCGAACGCTTTTGTTGTAGTCAAGAGGCAAGTTTAATTTGCATTTCTCTCGTTGTTATTCTAATTTCTTTGCAAAAAATTTTATTGTCTTCTCCAGTAGATCTAATTTTTAATTTACAACTTTTTGTTTCATTTTATTTTGAAAAAATTGAGATTTTTTTAAAATTATATTAATCTCTTAATCACGATGATTTTGTGATATTTTCCAAATTTGTAGGCCTGTAATTTTCTATTCTGAGATAGGTTACAAATCCTCTGGTCGTCATGCACTTCTCCTGTATGTTAAAGGTGTGTATACCGATGTCACCATTAGAGAATTTGTCTGGATTATTTTGGGTTGAATCAATTTAATTTTGGAAAGTTGTAAGGAGAAAAACTGGATATCTTTCCGATTAGTGCCAAAGGACTTGAAAGCACGGATTACCCCTCGGTAAGTCAATCATTTTGTATGCTATGATCAGTAAGATTATTGATTCCTGCATTTTCTTTCTTGGGGAAAACAAATTACTTTAGTTTGGAATGTGGTGAAATGATGATCACATGAAACATCATGTGGTGTTTTTGCATATGCGCTAAGAAATTTAATCCTTATAGAGAAGCCAGTTCATCCCAACTTGTAGTAAAAATAGAAAATTCAATCCATTAGGAATTCATTTTCAAATATTTTTTATTTACGTTGCTGATTACATAGATCTGTTTGTTGTCGTGAATATCCCACGAGCACAAAAGCAGTTCCTCGTCAAGTGGTATGAATGAAGCATTCATATTTTTTTTTTATGTTACTCCATTTGTTCTAAAATGTTTGTCAAGTTTGGATTCTTTTTTTAGTGTAATTTGTCCTAAAAGTGAAAAAAAAAAAAAAACTCAACCTAGACAATCATTTTGAGACAGAAATAATGTAATTTAAGTGATCCTTTACTTCTCTTTTCTTTTTCTTTTTTTCTTTTTCCTTTCAAATTGATGAACAATACCCATACAGATGAATGAATCCTAGGCTTAGCTCTTATGATCGCATTACGTGTTGTGCTTATGATCAGTGTTTTAAAATGGACAACTTTCCAATGGAAAGAGATTTTCAATTTCTCAGGTGAGATAACCCTAAATTGTCACTCGGGATTTCATACACTGATGTTGGTGAATTTGTGGAGGAGGCCAAGTATGTCTCTTTACCTTCTCCTTGGTTATCCCATTTATAGAATTAGTACTTGCAATATAAGACTTAGATGTTTTTTTCTCTATATTTTTGTCCATAATTGTCATCTAATTAAAGGCCATATCTATTTAAAAGTACAACTGTTAAATCCCCTTTAGGATTTTGATTGAACTTGTGTTGAATATTGAAACATCTGTTTAAAATGATACCACAATATTAAAGATGAAAAATTGTTGGAAAGATTCAAGTTAGTCGCACTTATTTTCTGAGGTAAATTAATCTGACCATAGAGTTGAAGATTAAGTTACCTCCAAAAGGAGGAATTTCCAAAGTGTCAATCATATGATTTTTGAGTGATCTATTTTCCGTAAGAGTTGGCAAACTTCTGTTAGATGACCCTGAAGCAATTTTTTTCATGTTTGTAAGTACCGAGTACTAATGTTGTATAGAAAAAATTAGTAGTGATGTTCTCCATGCTTTCATATGTTATCGGCGTTTAATTCCTCACAAGAGCAGACTAGAGGAGGATTAATTGGCCTGAGTGGATTAGATTTCTAAAGTTAACAGCGAATATGTATTCATTTCGTCCCAAAAAAATATAGTAACGTTTAAACTGTTAATTTATGTTATTTTAGAGTTATTGTCAAATTAAATTGTTGATTATTTTTATGGGATATGGGAATATCATTTCATTCATGAAGTAGGAAATTTATGAAAAGTGGTGTTTCACCAATTGTCAAAATGTATTATTTACTTGTATATAACAATATTTATACCATTGTCTATATATTATCCTGCATTTGATTATGTCATAATATAAGTAAATTATATCATGGATCATGGTCTATCTAGCAGTGTGACTCCAAAGAGAGAGTGCATCGGCAAAAAGGACCTTGCCGCCACTATGGATAAAGGAAGCTACCCATAGTCAGGCGAGTGCACAACACGCGCGGCAAGGAGAATGGATCTCAGCAGGCGGGGAGCTACCCAATTAGAATTCTGATTTTCTTTTTCTTTTTTTTTGACTTTTTACCATTTTTTCAAATAATCATATCTTTTAATATAAAAATAATTACACAACATGATATATATCAAATAAATTTATGCGACGAAATCTTTCTATTAAGATCCATTGTTAATATTTTTTTAGTTCAGAATTTTATTCAAATTTAGAGACTAAAAACAATGTATATGCACTTTAACAATTGTGTATCTGTTATTTAACTATTATGTATATGAAAAGGTAAATTATTATTTCTTTTCTTTTTGTTTTATTCTTCACTAATTACATTTTGATTTTTTTTTGTAATTTTTAATTATTTGTTTCGTATGTCTTCATATACATATCGTGAAGGTATATGAAGGTATACATTGTCACATGCTTTTATATACATGTATGTTTTCATATACATTTTCGTAGGCCTTCATATACATCTCGTACGCCTTCGTATACATTTCGTATGTCTTCATATCCTATGTATACGAAAATATACGAAAATGTATATGGAAACATACGATGTCGAATATTTTCATATACATTTTCGTATACATGCATATACATTCTTGCCTGCTTTTATATATTCGGATATATTCATATACATTTTCATATGTCATTATATACATATCTAGATATCTTTATATGCATTATCGTTTATCTT